AAATGTTTCTCCCTAAACTTTAATGCAAACATAAACTTTTAGATAAATGTTTAACCTTTAAGTTAGCATCATGATCGATCACCATCTTAAAACACAAGCTCTAAGAAGATTCAACTTGCATATACTTTATTTTACTCCCTTAGCATTTCAATTGGTCTATTAAAGAAAAAAATAATAAAAAATAAAAGAATTGAATGATATATGTAAACCAATGTTGATCGATGATAAGTTAAATAATTTAAATTAAGAGAGGAAGATTAAGGCTTTGTTTGGGACGACATTCTTATTGCTTCGTAAAACAGCTTTTTAGTATAAAAATTAAATTTTGTGTACTATAAGCTGCTTTAAAAAGCAGTAAGAAAGCCCACCAAACGAAGCCTAAGTCATAATTATTGCATTTCTAGTCTCATGGTCTAGCATAAATAGAAGGAAAATTTATATGAATATCATAAAATTCATATAATTTAATCGAATGATTAAATTTCTATATTTATTTATCTACTACTTAAGGATCTATTTGGAATAGCCTTCATTCCTGTTATTTGTTTAATTTATTTCCTTCATTTTTTTTTATTTTCATATGTAAAATAAAAATATAATTAATAGCTTAAATAAGTATTGCCTTTATTTTTATCTTATTTGCATAAAGTGGTGATGGTGGAGACAACGGGAACCGATGTTAGTAGTGACGCGAGCCGTCGAAGATCTTGTTGATGGATTTCATTTCTTAAAAAAAAAAAGGAAACACTCAAAGATAACATAAAGTCAATTAACATAAATCAATTTATGTATTTAAAAAATATCTTATTTTATTTCAAAATGCAAAACAAAAGTAGTTCAAAAAAGATGAACATAACATATCATTAAAAAAAGAAAATAAAAAGATTAAAAAGAAACGGGATCCTGAAAAATAACCAATTTGTATTTTCGTAATATCAAAGCATATGGATAAAATGTGTATAATACATTAATACTTTAAATAAAAATTTTCATTTACAAAAATAAATAGAGAAAGAAGAGAATTAGGTAACTAATTAAAAAAAATGCGCTAAAGCAGCTTTTTAATACAAAATTTAATTTTTTTATACTCGAAAGCTATTTTAGAAAGCTTCATTAATACTGCCACCGACCGTTGCTGAACTTCCATCTGACCCCTATTCGTCATTAGATTTCAACCTGATACTTGACTAATATAATTTGATCACCCTCAAGTTAAAGGACAAATCAATCTTTTGTAATCTATTTAAATACTAATGAATTCATTTCAACTAGGCGTGGCCCCATAATTTTTCCCTTCTGTATTTTCCGCGTCAAAAGTTCTGATGTTTCTATTCTCTTTATTTGTGAGATGGACATTCATGCAATATAAAGACGAATGAATTTCCTACTTTACCGCACGAAAATTCTAACCTGAAAAAATTATGAAGAGCAATGAATTTATACCAATTAATCGAACTACAAGTAAATCTTTATAGAACAGCTTTACATCATTTGATAAAAGAATATTTGAATTAATTCCTCCCCTTACCACATTTCGATCCTGATAAACATTAGATATGAATAGATTTAAAAAAAAAAAATCCATTATACAAATATACTTTCAATAAAGAAATGGTAGCCTTCAAGGCCATATCAATAGATAATTTGGATGCAGAATAATGTGATTGAGAAAGACAGGGCCAACGATGAATATGATAAAGCCGTACAAGGCAAAGTAGCAAGAGGGCACTCAACTAAATGATGGGGTCCTTTCGATGGATTAAATTCAATTGATATGATAATCTGTTAATTGGTTAGCACAAATCCTTGGCATTAGTGTGGCTTTAAAAAAGAAGTTGCTGATGGAAATCGTGTGGTCTTTTACTTGTTTAAAAGTAAATAGCAATATTAATGAAAGAGAGCTTTATAATGTAATGAAACTTTTCACCGTCAAATATACATTAATTATGTATTGTTTAAATTTCCGAACGATTTACCCAAAGTTAAGATAGATATTAGCTCATAAATATTTATACAGAAATCGCTTTATTTCCATATACTACCCATGGAAAATTTCACTAAAGGTTCAAGAGATTTTTCGGGGGAGAGCAACCAAAATCTATGAGCTGCTTGATAATATATTGTAGGGTGTCAATTTCGGATCACGAATCGGGTTCGGATCGAACCCGAAACAGACTCAGGTTCAAACGGGTCGACCTTTACACGACCCAGATAGGTAAATGGGTCGGAAATTCGAATCCGGACCCGACCCAGCTAGTTGCCAGTTTAACCCGACCCAACACGAAAACGAACGTGCGGGGCGGGGTGTGGCAGTGAGGGGCGGGTGCGCGGGCATGGTCGCGCTCGGGGGAGTCGCGGGCATCGTCGCGCTCTGGGGGGTCGCAGGCGGCTGCACGGGCACGCGGGCAGCCCAGGGGTGCGCAGGCATCCGCAAGGATGGCTTCGGGCTTGCGGCAGCTGCGCGGGCATGAAGTGGGCAGGGGCCGGACAAGTCCGCGGGAAGCCGGGCAAGGGCGGGCAAGTCTTCGGGTAGCCGAGAAGTCATTTTAAATGGGTTTTCGGGTTGACCCGACAACCCGTCGGGTCAATCCGATCCCTAGCAGTTTTTCAAACAGGTCGAATCCGGGAGCCCGAACCCAAGCCATTTTGGAAACGTTTTGGGTCAAACCCAAAAATTCTAGGTCGGGTTCGGATTGGATTTTTGTGTCGTGTCAAATATTGACACCCCTAATATACTATCATATTTAAGAAACACATCATTTGAAAACTCATTAAAAAGAAGACTAGTGAAAAATAATCCATGGAGAATTAAGTAAATGTTGAGAAACAAATCAATAATAAGAAAATATAAGAATTTAAGTAAATATTTCTTAGACTATCAAAACATGTAATTTGCTAACCATAAATAGTTATAACAAAAGAACAAGCGCCACTTAATATTAATTAAAACATATGATAAATGTCCACTTCATAATTAAGGGTGTAAAATTTTGACATGACCCAAAACACGACTCTAACCCGACTTGGAAAAATTCAAATTCGGATCGACTTGGTTAGAAAACGGGTTGGGTTTCGGTATGAATATCTAATCTGATTTGAGTTTCAGGTCATGTTCGGGTCAACCCGACAACCCGTGTTTTAATTGAATTCAACTCGCTTTATTCAATAATATTACAAAGGGTGATGGCTTAAGGGTTATGTTATTATGTGTGTTTAATCTTGCAGCTTTAGGTATTCGAGTTCTCCTTTCCTCTTCTATGTTTTGCTCCGAGCCCTTGGTGTCCTAGTTTCATTCAATGTTTTTCGTAATTGAGTGGTTGTTGCAGGCTCGATTTCTTAAGAATTGCAAGTGATGAATTCATGTCTCCTCCCCCCTCATAGTTAGGTATTTCCACGCAAGCTACAAATTTTGCTAGCAGATATCGACAACGAGTAACCATTTTGCATTTGGAGATAATGTGGTCATAGGATGCTTGGCAAGATTTGTGGTCTTTATTATGAGTTTCCAAAAGATTTTTCAATTTTTGAGCATCTGAAAATGAAAGCCCTAAATGTTTTGTGCCTGATTAAGAAACTCTAGAGCAAGGTTGTGAAAACCGGACCGGACAACGAACCGGAAGAATTAGAGGTTCATGGTTCGACCGGTTCGACCGGTTGAACCGGGGTCGAACTGGATGACGTAATAAATAATAATATAATTAAAAGTAATAAAATTAACATAATAATAATGATAATTTATTCATAAAAATTTTATAATTCTAAGAATTTTTAGACTAAAAAATAAATAAAATTCATACATATATAATATATTACATAATTTTAATATTAAATATAAATAATTATTATATTTATGTTATATATTTAAATATAATTAATTACTAATTTTAAATTTAAATATAAACATCTTCAATCTTCGATTTTAATTTATATTTAATAAAAATTTAGTTTATATATAAATATATAAATTTGATATAAATTATTATTTTATGTTATATATTTAAACATAATTTACATATATAAATTATATATAAATTTTATATTATAAAATTTTATTTATAAAGTCATACAATATTATTTTTTAAGATTTTTATATTTCTATCATTTAATTTCGCATTTAGAAAAAGTTTTAAAACTTTAAAAATTAATCTTATTATTAAATAAAATATATAATATTTAAATTAATTTAATATTTATTAAACATTTTATATAACAATAAAATATTTAAATATATAATTAGTTGAACCGGCCGGTTTTTAAAAAACGGACCGGTTCAACCGGCGGTTCAAACCGGTTTTGGCCGGTTCGTTGTTAGACCGATTCTTAGGGAGGACCGAACCAGCTATTAGACCGGTTCACGATTGAACCGGTCGAACCGGCCGGTCCGGATCACTATTTATCCTTTATCGATTACTAATTTTTATTCATCTATGATTACATGATTTACATCGTATCCGAAATCTCTTTCTTAATGTTCTCCGTCGGTGATGAATGCAGGTTCAATTCTCTGTTTTAGACCTTTTGGTGTTTATTTCGCCTGCTGGATCACTGAATACATTTGTTAGCATTGGCCTGTTGTAGTTTCTGGTGCTATGGTGAAGTTGTGATTTGCTAAAAATTTTCCTGTTCTATTTTAAGAAGCTTATTAAGCGCTTCTGTTTTCTTTTCCCAAATCCTATTATGGGCCTTATCCTTATAGCTACTATAAATCTATTCGCCTCACTTATTGCTCAGTTGTTGTGGGTAATGAAATTATGGGTTATTGCTGAATATGAACTACTGAATCTCTATATAATTGCAAATTAATTTACCAAATTTCATATTTTCATATTTTTAATAACACTTATGGGTCGGGTCGGGTTGATCAAAATCCAAGCCGGGTTTGGTTAGGGTTTAAGAAAATTAACCCGAAACCTGACAGCAAGGTCAAATTCGAGTTTGCACGATGATGACCCATTGACACAAATTAACACCCCTATTCAAGAGTAATGAAAAATCCAGAAGGCAAAAGCATGAAAACCATAAAATTAGTTGAAAAAAAAAAAAGTACACAACAAAGCTGAAGGGTTTACACCATAACAATCAAGCAAACCCTCGCGTACCCTTACTTTAGACGCACCGGGGTCCTCTTTGACACATATTCGAGACTAAGAAGACTAATTGTACTACAGTCATGAGTATACTAAAAGCTACTTCTTGAAGACTTCTTAACGGCTAATTAATTGAACTTCAAAGCTGACCGGATGAATGAGCAAAGTAAGCCAGAGCGCCAACGAGCGGAGCGTTGATATACGTTGCCGGCTCTGAGTGCGCGTAATCAGACCGCTCGTCGGGAAAATGGTCCTGCGCATCGGGTCCACCGACAACAGCGCCGACGAGAACGTTCGGATTAGGTGCTGACGAGCTAAGAGCAGCAAATCCGGCGGAGCAGGGGAAGCGTTGCGGGTGCTCTGAGACTGATGGAAGCGAGGAGCCACGGTGGTGGATTCTCTCGGGGTATCTCGACCCGTAGCCGACCATATAAGACATTTTCAGAGGATTGTCGCCGAGGAGATAGTCGATTTGCCGCTTAGCAATTGATCGAAGCGTATGTGGAGTAACGGTGGCGCCGCCACAAGTTACCGATTTGGAGGAAAATGTCAAGTACTTGGCGTAGGTTAGGAGGAGAAAGGATGTTGATGTCACATATTGCATGTTGCTATCGTCCATCTTGAAGAGAAGACCACCTGGGGTGTACTGGGTTTGGGAGAAGGATGCGCCGGGTATGAGGGAGCAGATGAAGTTGTCCGCGTGGCCTTTGTAGTCGTGGAGGGATTTGACATTTTGAACTAGGAATGCCTTGAAGGAGCAGAAGCAGAAACTAATTAGATGCTGAAGTAGAGGAGAATGGTGTCAAGGGGAGGAGAAAATAGAGACCTTAGAGAGAAGTATACGCGCTCCGACATGCTTGTTGTCCCAGCCAAAGGTGTTGTCGGACTCGTCGGCGCCGAGGGTTTGTCCATTGGTTTGAATGTAGGCCAAATAGGCGGGGTTCCTTGTTGCCTTGTGAAGCCATGCTGCTCCCCATAGTAACTCATCCTGAGGAGAAACAAAGGTTTCAAGGCTAGAAGCAGATAATGAGAGACTTGGAAAGTGAAAATGCATTGAAAGGAAACCTGGTATCCGGAGTAGGAGCAGTAAAAGGGGCAAACGAAGGTCTTTAATCCGTTGCTATAGGGGCCCCTGTATTTGTCAGCGAATGCGAACACCTGTGAAGAGATAGAGAAAAGGAGGGTTAGAAATCTGCTGTACGGAAAAGAGGCCGGTTTCTATAATACGGTGAAGGGGTTATAGAGTATCGTGTTACATGGATGGCTCTCTTTCTAAGGACTCGAGAGTATATGGGATCGACTCTCCTGAAGACAATGGAAGCGGCTGCAAGAGCGGCGGCTGTCTCAGCGGCGACGTCGGAACCAGGGTTGCTTTCGTCGATCTTTAAAACTGTTCTCGGAGTGTCCATATCCTCTGGCCTCTCCCAGCAAGCATGGTCTCTGTTCGCATCCCCCACCTGAAGCAGATTATTAATCTAAATGAACCATTTCTACACCGAAAAAATCACTAAATTTTTGTTCTCTCGAACTGGAAAAGCATACACGAAAGAAATGGAGAGAAATGGAGAGAAAGTACCTGAACATATATGGTATTAGGATGGTTAGTGGCCTTGAGGAGGTAATCTGTGGCCCAGCGAATGGATTCCCTTGCGTGTTGGAGTTCGGTCTTCATCATCCCACCAAACTCAATCACACTCCAAGATAGCATGGTAGCAGTAAAAGCCATGGGGAATCCAAACTTCACGTTGTCCCCTGCATCATAGTAACCACCCACCAAGTCCACCTACATTTTTCCAACATAATTAAAAAAAAAAAAACAACAAAACAAATGACAGAGTACAAACCAAATATTAAACGAAAAAGTTCATGGAGATCAGACATGCATCTCAGCGCCATCAGAGAGGCCGGAGTCCCTCCTCCATTTCAACCTCTGGTTTGGAGGAAGTTTACCTGACCTTTGGCCCTCAAAGAAAAGAATAGACTTAGTTAGCGCAACTCTATAGTCATGGGTCGCGGCAATGTGGTGTGGATGGTGCTCATGCTGATGGACAGGGAAGGCAAGGGTAATGGTGTAGCAGTGGAAGAAGATGAAGAACTGAGAAAAACATAGGAAGAAGGAAACAAACGATGGAAGAGAAGATGAAAAGAAAGCCATCCTGCCCATCCAAACAAGCTAACTACCTTCAGTTAACGTTCTTAAGGGAGTATACTTGGAGGCAGAGGGATCTCCATTTATAAGCCCAAAACAATGTCCTGCAGCGCTACTGTTCTGCCATTACTGTCACTGCTGGCAGAACTTTAAAGCTTCCCCTCCCATCAATTAACTCTTTAGCAAGTCGGATGAGTCACATGGAAGAACTGAGTTTAAAATAAATAACACTAAGTTATATTTAGAGACTGTCAAAACAGTCAAACACGTCACATTTGCGTTTAAATAAAAATTGACCTATTAGAAACCAACCAATTTGAACTTGAGCAGTTCCGACCTATTATTGAACGGGTCAAAAAAGTGGATCCAAATTTGGCCCACTAGAAATTTAAATTTTAACTAATCATAAATTTTAGATAAATTGATAAAAATAAGAAGACTTCCAACAAAAAAAGTTATTTAAGGAAAATAAAAATAAAAAGGTCTTCCTAGTCCACATCAGGTTTGTGGGTCAACCTGAATGCATCTCATTTGTTAAACGGGACATATTGCGAGACTCGAATTCTACCCATTTATTTAATGAGTGAAACATATCGTAAATTTTTTTGGTCAAGTTCGAGTTGGGCTGGCGTGTCGGATCATTTATTGACCCTCCTAGTTGTAATAGAATGCCAGAATAAACTAAACAATTTGTCATATTTAGACTTTAGGTCATGCGAAGAGCTTATACTTTCACATCAAATGTTTTAAAATTAATATATTGCGAAAATACAAAATAAAACTCTTCTATTTCTTCAAATCACTTTCAAGTATTTTGTTTTTCTTCTTTGCGTACTTTTTTTTTTTTTGAAGAAATGCATCTTGCATTAAGAACAAAGAAACTAATTACAATTGTCAAAAGGATGACACTCCTCCTTGATGAAATTTAACAACAAGGAAGGAATGTTATCAAATGAAAAGCTATCAAAGAAAAAACTACTTTCCAATGCCAAAGTAGCACACCAATTAACTACTTTATTACAACTTCTATAGGCATGTTGAAAGAGTACTTTATTAAAGTCATTTAAGAAGAAGAAATCCATTGTCGGGCTGTTATCTATAAGCCACTTATTCCCCTTTAAAGAATCTTGAAGGCAAGTAATAACATTGATGTTATCACTCTCCACAATCACCCCTTTGTATTCAAGCATCCAACTTCTTATATAATCACTCACCGAGAGTACAGCCTCCAGCTCGAGCTGAGCGATATCCCAATGAACTTTGTACTTTCCAAATGCAAGGATGAATCTACCTTTGTGATCCCTGAAAACACCACCGATTCCAGCAAGGCTACAACTGAGCAAGGAAGCATCAACATTAATCTTCATCCAATCTTTCGATGGAGAGCACCAAGTGTTGTGAGACTCCCTAAGGAGGTTAGTACCCAGTTAGCAATATATGGATTGGATTTAGTGGTAGCTAAGGAAAGGGAATTTGCTGCTACCAGAGAATAAGGTAGTGCAGTTTTTCCATGCTTAACATCATTCCAGTTTTTCCAAGAGAAGTATACAATTGTACATAAAATTCTCACAATGCCAGGAAACCGGGCTGTTAGTCTCCTTAATTCCGTTAGACAATGGTCCAAAGACTGGAATATAGGGATGTGGATACCCCATTCACTCATCTTCATCATGACTTCAGTCAAATACTTGCATTGTAACATAACATGTTCATAGCTTTCCACAGCTAGATAGCCTCTAGCACAAGTATCAGTTACTGAGATCTTGCGGTACCTAAGAAAGAGATTAGTGGGAATAGTAGATTTGCCAAGTCTCCACCAAAACATCTCTACCTTTTTATTAAGCTTGACTTTGTGAAGCCAATTGAAGTAACCATCATCTTCAATATTGAATTTGCATCTCACCAGATGTTCATAAGACAGAGCAGATACTGTCTTACCCGAACATAAGCTTTGCAGCTCTACCCGACCCTCATTACCAGAATCAATCTGAATTTGATTAATCAAAACAATGAGATCTGGATGAAAGCATTTTTGAAGTAGGGAATGATACTAATGGCCATCCTCCAATATTAGAAGTTGTACATAAACCCCATCCAAAGAATCATAGTCAGCCAAAGTAGGCCACCGATTAAAACACTTATCAAGTATCCAAAAATTATTAAAGACATTAATTTCATCACCAATGCCTACTTTCCATCTGATAATACTTTTAAGGTGTCTTCCTCCATCTACCAGAATTTGCCAAGCCATAGAAGTGGCTTTCTTTTGTGTACCGTTCATAACATTATTCCCATACTTAGCTTTGATTGTTTTATGGAACAAGGTCTTCGGCTTCAACATAAATTCCATGCCAATTTTGATCTCAACGAACCAGCTTTCATTATAGGAGATTGCAAACCCATCCCCCCCATACTTCTCGGTTTACACAAATCTCCCCAAGCCACGTAGTGTATACTACGACTACCATCTGGTTTATGCCAAATGAAACTTCTACAAAGTTTTTTCAATGCATACAACACTCTTTTTGGAACCAAAGAATGTGCAATTAAAAAGTTTGGCATGGACAACAAAGAGCTAGTAATGAGAGTAATCTTGCCTCCTATAGATAAAGAATTTTTACCCCAAGCATTAAGTCTATCCATGACATTGCTCAAAAGCTCTTGAAAGTCAACCATCTTCAACCTATCAAGAGAAATCTTTATCCCAAGATAACTCATCTCCTTAACCACTTTGAAGCCAAAAACTTTAGCAATCTTCTTCTTCATGGGGTATCTGACAGCCTTGCCGAAGATAACTTGTGACTTATTGGCATTAATCCTTTGCCCCGTCCATTTGAAAAAGTCTTCACAATAATCTTCAAAACTTTAGCTAATGCCTTGGATACATGTGAGAAAATTAGAACATCATCCGCGTACAGAGGATGTGTGATCTTTGGACCTCTAGGAGAGAGTTGCATGCCAAGACATTGACCCTAGAGAGTTGGACATCAATTGAGAGCACATGATGTAAAGGTAAGGGGAGAGTGGGCAACCTTGACGGAATCCACTATGAGCATTGATCCACTTGGAATTCTTTCCATTAAGAATAATGGAAAATCTCGCATCTACAACACACTCCATAATAAGGTTAGAATACATAGAAGGAAAGCCATACCATTTAAGAATTTGACCATGTCCAACTTCATGTCCAACTTCAAAGCCATCAACCCCTTCTTATTTTGGAAATTTTGAACTTGTGGAAGATCTCCTGAGCTAGAAGACAATGTTCTGAAGTTGATCTTCCCGGAATGAAAGCCATTTGCTCTTCAATAATCAATTTGGGAATATAATTCTTCAATATGTTAACTAGCATTGTGGCGGCAATCTTGTAATTAGTCTGGCATAGGCTAATAGGCCTATAGTTGGATGGAATCAAAGGGTTCTTCACCTTAGAAATAAGAATTATAAGAGTGTCTTTCCAATCCTTTCTCATACAACCAGAGACTAGAAAGCACTTAATTGCATTCCATAAATCTTCCCAAACAATATTCCAATAACATTTGTAAAAAGAAGAAGTGAGTCCATCCAAACCTGGTGATCTATTACTCCCTTGCTGAAAGACCGACTGCTGCAGTTCATTCACCGAGAATTCCTCATTAAGAGATGCATCCTCTTCTAAATTCAGTTTTTGGTTCTCATAAATCACTTGCCAACCCGATAATTCACATTCTCTGGACTTCCATTTAGCTTCAAAATATTGAATGAAAACCTTCTCAATTTGATCATCTTCAACTTGCATTTCATTGTGCATATCCTTAATTTGATTCACCCTATTTCCATTCCTTCTTGCAGTAGCAAAACTATGGAAACGTTTTGAGTTTATGTCTCCTTCCTCATGCCATCTAGATTTTGCCCTTTGATTCCACCAAGTGGACAATCTTCTCAAGGTCACATTAAGATCATGGATCTTGCTTCTGAGTAAGGAAAGGTCCTCAGCCGTCAAGTCTACTCCCACAGCTTCCTTGTTTTGGAGATCCACAAGTTCTCTTTTTCAATTTTTCCTTCAGCATTTTTAAGTCTTTGCACTTATTTTTACTCCAAAAAAATAGTGCTTTTAGAGTTCTATTAATTTTCCTTTGTAGGATCATACCTTTATCACCAAAATCATTTTTCTTCCAAGAATGGTACACAATACTCTTGGCTGTTGGATAAGATCTCCAAGTATCCTCAAATTTGATAGTTTTAGATTGTATACGCACACTTTGATCCATTTTGAAGGCAATAGGACTATGATCTGATGCCACTCTTGCTAGATGTATAATAACAGCAATAGGCAGCTTTTGAAGGGCAGCTGAGTTCAGTATACACCTATCCAGCCTTTCCCAAATCCCAGAGGCTCCTTCCTTCTTGTTGCACCAAGTGAACCTTGGTCCAATGTACCCCACATCATGGAAATCAAAATTTTTCATAAAGCACTTCATATCTTTAGGTCCTTTAGAAAAAAGGAACCTCTTAGCTCCTCTCTTTTCCTCCTTGTTCAAAACACAATTGAAATCTCCACCAATGATAGAATGAATAGAATCCTCCATACAACTTCCAAGCTGACTCCAAAGAATCTCCCTCTCCTTACAACATCAGCTGCCATATACTGTGCCAACCTTCCACATACCCAAGTTAGGGACGGAGATATCCCCAACTATCATTTGAGAAGAAGTCTCTTTGACCACAAAAGTCACAACCTTCATATTCCAAAGCACCAAAATACCCCCTGAATAACCAACAGCAGGAAAATGGAAATACACCCAATCCTTCCCAATAAGGCCATCAACATCCTTCCGATCAATACTTGTCATCTTAGTCTCCATTAGCCCAATGAAAAAAATGACTTGATCTCTAACAACCTCTTTCAAGTACAGAGAGGCCTCTTTCTTCCTATCCCCTCTGCAATTCCAGAATAGTAAAGAGGACATTACACCAGTGGAGGGGATCCCTCCCCATTCATGGAATTCATCCTTCCATCCCTCTTCTTCTTTTAGTAATCCAGATTTAATGGCCCAAAAGATTTCAATTCTTTGGCAAGTTTAACTTTAGTAACACCACTAAGGCAAGCTGTGCCATTAATCACAGCATTTGAATCAGCTATTTCCAAGTCCATGTCCTTCTGTTTA